TATACTCTTTCAAGTTACTTTACTTTAATGTTGGATTGTTGATATAGTAATCTAAGGAGATAATAAACACAGCCCACCAGGAAAAAAAAATCCAAATGCTAACAAAAATTCTTGATATAAATCAGACTGACTCAAGCATGCTCAATGACTTCTTCAAAGGACTTATTGATATTCATACAGTAAAACATGTCTGTACCAATAATGATAATTAACTGCTATGTGCCTTTCATCCAAGGATCTCAAGCTGTAGCTCACAACAACACTATGAATTAAGTATGGTCTCTGCATTTCACAGAGGTTCTACAGCCAGAGAGCAGCTCAATAACAACACAAGGAGCAAAGCACAAATTCCTTGAGGAGATGTGGAGGGTGATTTTTAATACTGGTAATGCACCCATTCTGTATCTTTATCCATGCTCTATCCCCCATGCAGACATAAATTCTTTGTCCTTCCTTGCCTACCTACAACATACAGAAACAGAAAAAAGGCCCCAGTTTCCTAAACCAGAGCCCAGTCCAGCTAAATCTGTACTGTGCACTAGGGAAAAAAAAAATCCCAGCTCCCCAGGAAGCCCCACAGAGCTGTGGGTGTCCACCCAGGAGTGACACAGCTCCAGCAGTGCCAGCACAGTGGTGGACATGGGCCATCACCTCCTTCCTCCTTGGTGCAGGGCTCAGCCTTGGCCCAGCACTAACCCCATCTGGGCTTGTACTGCCAGTGCCATTGACTATGCTCAGTGCTGTCAAATGCCTCCTAAGGGGCAGAAAACAAGGTAAGTGTGACCTGTGCTCACCAAGGGTGGCTCTAACTCATCTCTGGTCATTCTCTGGAAGAGCCCTGCCCTCTGTGAGCCCCAAACATAAGTGACTCAGGGAAACCATTCCCCCAACAGCAGAGAAAAACCCCAGGCTGCAAAGGTGCACCCCTAAGTCACACTGCTCTTGGAGGAGAATCAGCACACCAGGGCCTGCTGACAGCTGGCAGAACCAAGGCATGGTCCTGCTCACCAGACAGGAGAGAGGCAGGCTGGGGGCATGAGCCAGACCATGTTTTCATCAAGGAGATATCCAGAACCTTCTCTACTGCCTTATACTTGCCTCCCTATCCCCTCAGTTCCCCTTAAGTTATATAAGCAGGAACATGAAGAGGTACAGGACCTGCTTGGTCTTTCATTCCCTCACCTACTTCAAGATGTTTGTCTTTTTACTGCATTTTTTACAATCTTCTGCTTACACCTTATATTTGTTGTGAGCATTCATGACTCAAGTTTTTTGATGCAAGGATTTGTTTCTACTATGTCATATTAAATCATTTGAAATTCAGTTTTTTCCTTAAAAAAGCTTCAGCTTTTATTTTCATGTCTTATTGTAACAAAAGTAAATACATGCAAATTCACTAGAATTTGTTTTATATTTAAGATTTTGAGATGCCATGTTAGAATCACACTGCTATTTCATGCTGCATAAGTTACTTATACACTTATACTACAGTTCAAAATGTTAAATCTCATGGACACTACTACTGTGCATTACTGACACTGCTGTTATTAAATAATGTAAGAAAAAATTATTATTTAAAAATGTGTACAAAAGGAAGTTTGGGGAGCAATGGCTTCACAACAGATCTTGTGAATACTTCATTCAATGAATCAGTATTTCCCATTGCAAAAAAAAGAAAATCAAACAAACAAAAACACCTCAAAGTAATTAAGCTCCTTGAATCTATTGCTGCCTTTGGAGTAAATAGGTCTCAGTCTGTCCTGTTCTGCACCTCCTTGATGTCTTTGGAAGCTCAGGCAATTCCCAGATGCAGCTCACTGTGCAGAGTCCAGAATGAATGGATACCAGCCAGCTCCTCTGCCATCTTGTACTAGGCTGACCCTGAATTCCAGGCACCCAGCAAAGTTACTCTATCACTCCCCTCCACTAGTGGAGAGGGGACAGAAAATGTAACAGGTTCCTAAGCTAAGGACCAGGAGCAATCACTCACCAAATACCATCAACAGACAAAACAGGGTCCAAGTTCAGGAAATTAACTGAATGTATTACTTACAAAATAACTGAAATTACTGAGAAGCAAAATAAATCTTAAAAACACCTTCTCCCCCCTGCCCCCCCTTCCCTCCCAGGGTCTACCTACTCCCCTCCAGTGGCAGAGGGAGACAAGGAATGGGGGCTGCACAGTTCATCACAGGTTGTTTCTGCTGCTGCTCAGGGACAGGAGTCCTTCCCTTGCTGCAGGGTGGGGCTCCTCTCATGTAGTTCTTCATGAACTTCTCCAGTGTGAGTCCATCCCATGGGCTGCAGATCTTCATGAACTGCTCAATGAAACTCCCCTTCCATAGGATTCAGTCCTTCAGGAGCAGGCTGCTCCTGCATGGGTCCCCCACGGGGTCACAAGTCCTGGCACCAAGCCTACCCCAGCGTGGACTCCTCTCTCCATAGGTCCCTGCCAGGAACCTGCTTCAGCACAGACTTCCCACACAATTACAGACTATTTGGGGTATCCACCTGCTCTGGCATGGGCTCCTCCATGGGCTGCAGGTGGATCTCTGCATCCCTGTGATCCTCCATGGGCTGCAGGTGGATCTCTGCATCCCTGTGATCCTCCATGGGCTGCAGGTGGATCTCTGCATCCCTGTGATCCTCCATGGGCTGCAGGGGCACAGCTGCCTCCCCATGGGCTGCTCCATGGGCTGCAGGGGAATCTCTGCTACAGCCCCTGGAGCACCTCCTGTCCCTCCTTCCTCACTGACCTTGGGAACTGCAGGGCTACCACCTCTAATGGGAAAAACAATACTCCTCTGAGCCTATTAAATCCACATTTCACTGCAGCTTTCTAAGAATTGGAGATAATTCAGTGCCAACAAGCAAGTATTTCCTTTTGGGTCCCTTAACATAGGTATCTTCTCATGCTGGACATCAAATCAGTTCATCCTGGTCCCAGAAGGCTGCTGACATTATCCCCAGCCTGCACTAAAGAAATCACTGGACTGGAAAACTCAGGCTTTCCATGTCCACACTTGCTCTTAAGTGAAAATTAGCTCAGTTATAGTCCAAAGGAGCCCTTTAATGGCCAACATATGCTTTGGCATCCTGCCAGCAGAGCTCTCTTAAGGCCATCCAGCAGAGTGACACCATCAGTTACAAAATCTATGTGTGTCAGGTCACTAGGTTATGAAACAGAAGTGTTGTAAGCATGTAAGGACGTGGCTTAGGCCCTGCTGTGAGCGAAGACAAAATTATTGTTCTGGAATCAGATTACTATCTTGGAAGGCACTCCAGTAAGAAAGGGTCACTGCATTGTAATAGCATTAATACTGGGAAATATGAGTTCCAGCGTTCAGAATTGTTAAAAAACACTGAAACCAGTAAAGATGGCAATCCATGGGGTGCTACTACGACACTCAGCTAGCACGATGGTGAGGTACTGCATGCTTGGATGGAAAAATCCATCTCAGACTGCACTGTGCTGGACTACAGTAAAAATCAGAAGTCACTCTTTCCACAGGAAATGACAGCAACACAAAATGAAAACCATGATAACAAGCAATATGACTCTCCCACACATTACTTCCTAGTAATACTGAAGAAAACACACATGTAGCATGCTTCAAAAAAGTCAGCTCCATTGCAGAGGTATCATGAGCAATGAGTGTGTGTCCCTCTGAGTCAGTCCTGGCTCTCAAACCAACTGAGGGCCAGGAGAGTGACAGAAGGTGAAAACTATAATAAAATCAAAAAAGAAAGGGGAAAAAATATGAGAAAATAAAGTCAATGCAGGCAAAGTATCATTACATTGTACTGATTCAAAAAATGCGACCTGTATGAGTATTTTTAAACTACACACCATGGCAGAGAGAAAGACAAACTCTCAGACAAGTGATACAGCTGTCAAATCTTAAACTATGCAGACATATGTGGAAAAAAGAGTGGCCAATATCAATAAACATCTAGATCTAAGCTGAGAAGGACTGCTAGGGTTATTTCTGGTTTACAATTGCACTTCTGTAGCAGTCAGTTACTCTGACTATGGTGGAAACCACTACGTGAGATGAAGAGCCAAGGCAAAGTAAATCCATACCAAACAATAAAGTATAGAGGGGGAAAATTAAAAGGTCAGACAAATATAGAAAGGGAAGATGGAAAACAATACAGATACTAATAAAGTTTCTAAATTGCAGTGCAAGCGATTACAGAGATTACATCCTTCCCAAGCCACTTTCTTCTCTCCCCACTTCTCTTTATCCTTTTCTGCAAATGAAAATGTAACTTTTGCTTATGCCTATATGTAAATGCTGAGAATCTAAGGCATTACACCAGCTTTTGAGCACTGCAGAAAAATGAAAAGGCCATTATTTGGATGAAGAATTAGTTTGTATCACTGACTTGACTGCTCCCTTTTTTATTAGCAGCTGTTAGAGAAGGGATCAGGGAGTGTGCTGGTGCAGTGCAGCTGTTCCACATATGTTATAAATAAGGGCTGGTAAAACCTCATCCTATTTTTAACATTAAGAAAAAAAACAAGTCACAAAAACTCCCCATTAATGCCTTGTAAGTGGAACTTTTCTCCTCTTCTTGACTTTAATGTCCAGAACTGAATACTCAAACCAGACCATTCTTAAAACAATATTCATTTAAAAAAGGAAAGAAAATGCAATTTAGTGGAATCAGATTTAGGCAGCCTGGAGGATGTAACCAATTAGTGTGTACAGTATCTTTTCCTTCAAAAGCAGACACTTAATCATGATGAAAACAATCCCCCAAGATTTTATTTCCCACAGAAGTGCTGGATTACTGCACTGAGGTTCCTCTAGCATAACCCAAAAGCTGAGCCACGCCTCATGTGGCTCTGTCACCACCACCCACCCTTCCCAAAGCTGCTGGCTCCCCTTGCTCGATCGTGTGGCCAGAGCCCTGCTCACCAACCCCAGCGCAGAAAATGACAGCAACCATTCAAGGTGAAAGCGAAATCCCAGCCCCAGGCAATCCCCACTCACCTGTTTTCGGGGTCTGACACCGTCAGGTTGCGTGTCACGTAGCACATCTTGAGGGGAATTGTCTTCCTGTCCCTGTGGATGGAGAGCGAAAGCTGCGCCATCGGCTCAGCAGAGGCGCAGCCCAGGCGCGGAGATTCGGGGGGCGGCGTCTCCCAGCCGATCTCTGACACGGGGGAGCCTTTCTTCACATAGGGGGTTGCTTCTCTCATGTATTTCACTATGGAAGAGAGAAAAAGAGATGGAAAACAATAAATAAATTAATATTCTGGAGTTGCATACTCAGGTGAGTTCTCTGGACTGGTGTTAACCCTCAATGCTGTCCATTAATTCTGCTCACCAAACATCCCAGCACAGGAAGCTGTGCAAATACAGAAGATTAAGATGTGCCTGCTGCCAGTGTCAGTATGGTGCTATGAGTAAAATGAGGGAGAAGAACAGAACAGGCAAAGTAAGAACATGCAGCCATAGAGTGTAGGGCCAGGAGAGCCATCCCACCTTTCTGTGACAGTGGGTAAGCAGTCATGCAACAACTGCTTCACACAGAAGCCATGAGCTGTCTGAGGTACAGGGATGTTTAAAGAAAGACATTCAACCAAGTGACAGTGACCCTATTACTCCCTTATCTAAAATGTCCCAGCAATACTTCCAGTGATTCCAACTCACATCTTGCTTCTGGTTCGCACTCATCAGTGTCCCACCACTAATCTCAACAACTATTTCTGCTTGCTGGGAAGCAGTTTTGTCTAATCTACTTGTACATATATGTATATATATATATATATGGAGCAAACAAAAACCAACCCCTTCTTAGCCTTCTCTTGGGGAAAGAAAAAGGACTTTGAGCCTTTTGTGAGAGTGAAGGTGTCAGATTAGACCTCAGCCTCTTCTGGGCTTTTTTCCAGAATGGATAAGAAAAGTGAATGTAGGATTCTGAAATTATCTTACTATATTAAATTATCTTACTGCATTATACTTTTTTACATGTATGCTTCATATTCCCCTCTTTATGCAGGCAACTACTGCAATATTGTTCTCGTTTTTTAATTATTTTGGTAGTTTAAGCTCATGGTTGCTTTTGCTATTGATAGGCTTGGCAAATCTGCCAGTCAAAGCCTCCTTCCCCTTCACAAACCTGATGGAACTCAGACAAGACATCCCATTTACATGCCCTGGTTAAGCCAATATTCCCCCAGCACATAGCTGTGGCTGCATCACTGGCTGCTGCCACATGATTGTCCCCACAACTCAAACAGCAGTGACACAACCTGAAAGGGCCCGGGCATTGTGAACTTGCCTGGGGGAGTTATTAAAACGCTGTGGGAGAACATTTCAAGGAAATGGTGCAGATCATCGTGTCAGCTCAGCTGAAGAAGCTGGGAATGACTGAATAACAAAAAGGTGGGTAAATTACAAAAGGGCATTGTGGTGAAGGATGTTAAATTAGGGAAAGCCAACTGAAGTTTCTGAGTTCAAAATGAAAGCAAGAGAAGTATCCAGAAGAGTGGAGAAGAACAACAGTTTTCCTACTATCTAAACTACAGATCAGCTGATTAGCTTCAGCAGCACTATTTCAAGGCACTTCATAAAAATTTTACCAAGAGAGAAACCAGTACAAATCTAGAGTCCAGGCTTTGTGAGCTCCTATTGCTCTTTTTCTCTAAAACACCTTAGTGCCCATGTTGCCACTGTTCATTTTATCCTTTTAAAAAAAATATGTTAACTTCAATCACAAGGATTTCTCTGTTAAGGTATGTTATGGGATATTCCTTTTTGGGAAGGACCATTTGTGATTTATCAGAAAGGCTGTCCACTGAACACTGATGTTTTTATTTCCTTGTCCAATCATATTCTGAGTATTTTCTTAAATTAATTTGTTCCCTTCTCAGGAAAGAGTTGGCACAGAATTCCACCAGGTTTCCAGAAACTGTTTCAGGCAAAAAGAGTTGAGATTGATTTTTAAAAACTTTTTAGATATCTACCTAAAGTCCATTATCTAAAAACCTGTGTCACCTAACTCCCCAAACCAGTGCTCATCTTTGCGTACTCCAAAAATTACATGATTTTCAGAGGTGCTGAAAATAAGCAGTTGTTGCCAGTGTCATAGGGATACTGGTTTCAGCAGCTGCCATCTCAGTTTGGATGTACTCATAGCCTTAGGAAAGCCAAGAACAGAACAGATCCAGATGTGTGAATCTATTCCTGTTAACACTGAACGAACACGACCTTGTCATTAATTTCCATGGGCGGAACAGCTGAAGCTGTGAAAATCACGTTCAACTTCAAACAAAATTTTGTTCCCTTTAAAATTAGAGATTAATGATTGCTCTGTTGAAAAAAGTAATCCAGTCAGTTTTTGAACACTTGTACAATGACATGCCAGGAAATGTGATTCCAAATAAAGGTCCAGGTCTCAATAGTGTACCTATTTCATCTGTGCTATTTTTGTCCTTTTCCAGTTGCAGTTATATCCATTCAACCCTAGCATATTTTAATTAAGAGGAGGAGAGAGGGGCAGGGGGAGGAAGGAAGCTGAAGTAAAAACTTTGGCTGGAAACTTAAGCAGAACACAAAATGTGGTTTTAATTCCCCAGAGACAGGACAGAAGAAAAGAGGCAGCCTTTCCATGTCCCAAAAGCCAAGTTTCCATGCAATGTACCGGTGAATTCATGGCAGACAGCTGCAGTCTTTCACAAAGTCCCATGAAAAAGGAAGCAGGAATAGGGGGAGAGCAGAAACACCATCCTCTTTCCAGAAACTGAGCCTCAAACACAGCAAAAGCCAAGAAACTACCTTGAGGAAATACATCCTATGAAAATTCCTTCCAACTTCTGAACTCACAGACATCTAGTTTCTACTACATCTCAACAGAAGATGGTTGCTCAGCCCCAGGAATATGAACAAAGAGCCATTAATGAACTGATAAACTGCTAACAACATCTTCATATGAAATTCCACAGTAGAATGAAAAAATGAAGTAAATATATGCTTTCTGTAAATAAATAAAAAAATTAAATTTAAAAAAAAATAATTTTCTAGCTTCTACTAATAACATTCCACTTCCTACTAAACACAAGCACAGGTCTCAATTCATGGCTGAATTCTGCTGGGTTTTACAGTCCAGACTTTATGGCTGTTGCAATTCAGGTGTGATTCATATTTTAAAAGCCCCCAAATGGATACATATAAAAGCACAAATATAATATGGGAGTGGAGGAGGTGGCAGAACTTGATCCATTTATGCAATTTTTTGCTATTACTTAAACTTCAGAGCCACTGTTTCCGTTTACTTCACCAACATCTGTAATTACATGTCCATAACCAAAGCCCAGTTTATGAATTTAGCTGAGATCAGGCACACATTGTTCAGATGACTCATAAGTTTTATCAGCAATTATTTCCTATTTACCTCTAAATTCTGGGTGCAAATACTGCAGAACATGCTGTTTTATAACAATGCACCAGCAACCCTACTACATACATAGCAATTTAGGATGACCCCACACTTTTACATTCTGCAGCCTTTTCACACCCACTTCTTAATCCATATAGCAGAAAACAAGTTGATACCAGTATCTATTATAGGCATATTCCTATTCCACACTGCACTATCTGAGAATCATGGATAAAGCAAAGTTAAACTGCAATGACACAATTCACTTCCATAATCACGTTTTAAAACCAGAAAAAAGATGATACAGTCTATTGGACATTAAAGTAATAAAGTGGATAATACTGTTTTCAGAGCATTGCACTCAAGAGCTGGATTTTCTTTTTGATACAGTGGCACAAATTCAAGCACTGACTGAAAAAGAAAGCAACTATCAAAAACTGTGTTTATATATTGCCAATGAAACTACCTAATGAATAAAAACCTAAAAACATTTAATAAAAATATATAAAGCATGCCATTGTATAACAATTTTAAATTATGAATAACTATTTTATAGGCACGTATACACATGTATATCTTTGGAGTATATACATATGTCTAACATATATACAAATATTAAATATGTATTTATATAAAAATGCTGTATTTATATAAAAATGCCACGATCTTTAAGACCACCAGAATACTGCAAACACAGAAAACAACATGTAGGGACTCAAAAAAAAAATCTAATAGTCTCATTATTTTAACTCAATTTATTTATAAACTGTAAGTTTAGTCAGGAGTTGTCTAAACTCATTTGTTTGATGCTATAGCTCAACTTCAGAGATCCTTATATTCAGTACTAATTAATGATCCATACCCTTTTGCTGCACCACTAATAAGAAACTGTGGTCAAGCAATTAAAATTCCAATCTCCGGAGTGCCCCTCCCCACAAAGGGAAGAGGAAGGGAAGTGGCAATCAAATGAATTAATCCACTGATACACACTGAAACAGTCTGGATTTATTTTTTGATCTGCAAGACAGGCAACGTAGCTTCCAAAAAAGCACTTCATTTATTTGTGCTTCTGCCAAGTCCCAAGACTCCACAATGAATGCTTTGTTACTGTTCACAGATGACTTTTTGGGGGGAAGAAGCAGGCTTTTAATGAGAGAAATACTACAGCCCAACTTGGTCAGGTTCTTGGCCAGATGCCTTTCTGAAGAACTGGGACTCTTCTGACACACTCAAACTGTTTCCTAGGAGGGAGGACAAAGACCACTGAGGGGAAGCCAGCAAGCCTGAGGAAAGCTCTTTTGTTACTACAGGAATGAGGACAGGATGTGTAGGTTTACAATACGAAAGCAAAAGGAACAACATACCCAAATCTGATTGAAGACACTTGATCAAGGAATTCCCCTCTGCAGGAGAAAAGCACAGAGTGTCCTCTACCATAATACCAGCATTGCCTGCTAGGCTTTATGTGAGAGATCAAATTTCCTCTAAACTCAAGCCAAGTGCGTGCCTTACAGTGAAGCGCTGTATTAAAATGAGATGAGCTGCTGGTGCCATCATCAAAACTAGGACCCAAAGAAAAGAATTTATGAATCAGACCATCTATGAAGACACATCACATGATCCTTTCAGCAGCTTTAATCTGGGCATAAACCAAAAAACAGTCAACAATCCTGCTTGTCAGTGTTTCCACTACATTTCCTACAGAAACATCTGTTACTATGCTCGGACAAGTATTATCCATTAACATCATCTGCTTTCCCCCATGCTGAAAGGATGTGAAATAGTAAACCTCTTGATTTGCCAAAAGCATCAGATCTCCACCTCTG